CCATATGCACCATTGGTTTGAAATCTAGTTAAAGCGCCAGACATTCGCTTTTCATCCTCTTATTTTCGTAAACAACACCCCCGCCACGAGAAGGCAGTGAGTAGGACTTCCCTGGCAGAGGCTGCATACGCGTGGCCATTTGAGAGCACTTCGAGAGGGAGAGCGGACTCTCCCCTTTCCCGGCCGTACCAAGGCATTTGGGGGCTGAAGCAGCCAGAAGCACGAGCGATCCCAACCCGTCTAGTCGGAAATACACTCATTTATATATTGGTGTGTACAGCTATTTTTGATTAATAATCCGAATAAACGACATATATGAAAAATAATTCATACAAGAATGTCGTATGTTATACAGAATAAAATGTCATAGGAAAAAACGAAACAAATACTATACTGAGTGATCATTAATGTTAAATAAAAATCATAATGAGTAAATCAATTTAATTTTGACCTTTCACCCCGTCATAATAGGCTTTATCCTAGTTAGCATGTATTATTAGTGAGATTCTTCTTTGGAGGACGAATTTACTAACCTTATGACCAACTCTCCTCACTTACCCAGGGTTGTGACCGGTAGTAGTAACCCTAGGAGTGCTTCAGGTAGAATTAGTCCTTAACAGAAACTAATTCTTCACAATAGTAACAGTAATAAGTTACTTAAAAGATTGTTAGCATCATCAGCATTTTTCTGATAGATTAGTTCATATATTTTCTTGTCCAAAAAACGCTACTTACTACAAGATCATTGAGATACAAACTTGACTATTTAGTTGTAAATTTTTTTTCCAGTACTTCATTTATTTTATCTAATGAATGAAGACTTTCCACATTCTACAAACTGAATCAAATCTAGAAACTAATCTAATCTACAAATAACTGGTAGATGATAAGACACTAGTGACCATTTCACCCCACCTACTTTCATCTTTATATTAACATATTAAATAATAATTAAATCTCCATAGCCCAGTCTTTTGATCATAGTTTCATGATCATGGATGTACACTATTGAGAAGTCTTATACTAGGACAAGACAACCATCTAATACTTCCAAGTTTTCAATGATGATCTAACATTCATCGATTCATGATCACAATCAAACACTTAACAATCTCTGCAACCCTTACACCGATGATAATTATATATCAATCTAACTAAATTGAAAAGCATATGAATGTCCAATATTTTCAGAGAATTTCAAATGCATAGTTCTATATAATATTGACAGGACACTGTGTATGTGCATATATATATATATATATGTGTGTGTGTGTTAATGAATGTGTGCATGTAGAATTGATTATCATTAAAACATATATTTTTATAATAATCAAAAAGTCAGTCACCTATTTGTTACATGTGTATATTATGAAGTGAATTAATTGTTATACAGTATAATTTCATTCTATTCTTATGACACGTCAATCTAATTCATTATGAACACTTTAAATTTCAATATAATAATGAATATTAAATGTATGTGTGTATTTATGTGCTTATATTACATTAGTTACAAAACTCAATTTAATGTTACATAATCATACAACTTTTTATTTGTAAATACCTGAAATCAATGTAGAAAAAAAAAAAACGAACAAACTACTACCATTCTAATCTATCGAATTAATACTTAATTCTGAATTGATACTGGTACTAGAATTGTATGAAAAGTTAGAGTTGTTAGTTTTATCTACTTCTAGTTGATGTGTAATCATGTGATATTTCTAGAATCTTATAAACTTTGTGTAATCAGAAGGGGTTTTGTGAAGATTTTAGAAATTTCATTGGTTGAAATGATGAGTCAATTGAAGCTAGATCACCATGGAAAACCTGGAAGCACTGGACGGCCGTTTCGTCTTAGTATGGGACTTCTCAGCAGTGCGCATCCACGATACCGACCCTTGCGGGTTTCGAACTCAGGATCTATCAGTCTCGCGCGCGAGCGCTTAGCCATTAGATCACTGAGCTGGCCGGCATCCAACGGTGTTAATGTTTAACTTCAACCAACCCATGTAATTGCGCCACTGTACACCATTGTCTTCAGTGGGTTGATATCTCATAACAGACCTGGTAACGGATTCTCACTAGAACTCCAGGAGTATCTCTTGAAGTCAGTCACTAATGAGCAGATGATTATTATCAGAAGGGGTTTTGTGGAGATTTTAGAAATTTCACTGGTTAAAATCATGAGTCAATTGAATCTATTCTTAGTAAGGGATTAAGTTAACTTCAGTTGAGTATAGATTTATGTAGTCGAATTTGAATACCACTTGTAATTCAAAAGTTATCTTGACAACATGAACTCGAAGATGTAAGTTGGTGTAGATCGTTAGATTACCTTAAGGTATTTAATTAGTTCGCTGGTTTCAAAAACATACATTTTTGAGTTATAAGATAATTGATTCGATCTTCTGTGGTGAAGTTGTGGATGTGCATTGCTGACAGTGATCAGTTCGTTATTTAAATTATGAAGATAAGTTTAAACAGATATATATTTATAATGCTCAGAGTTTGGTTACATTGAAGTGTGAATAGTATGTAAACAGTAAACTTTTAACACAGTTATATCATCACAGGTACATTTCTCTAACCAATGGTAGCTATCACGAAGCTGAATTTAAACAAGGCTTTATATAAATTAATGTCATATTGCACACAATTAAGAACCACTTAGACTAGTTTCCACATTCTATTCAGTTTGATCAATATAATTTGATTAGTACTAAGGATTAGATAAATAAGACATTTGATACTACTAAATAATCAATAACGGTGTGCTTTTGAATATTTGTGTCGTTTTTTTATGAACGGAACATTCTATATGTAAATACATCAAATTTATAGACTGTGTGATTGTTTATAAATATATATTTTTTTATTATTGTTATCACCAAATGTTTACTAGCTGTGTATAATTAGTTTTCTCAGTGACATGATCGGTTTGATATGATAATAATAATAATAATAATAATAATAATAATAATAATCAGCTATTCAATCAATAAATGACAATACGAAGTAAATTATAATACATATATTTGTATTACATGGTTGGTTACATGACACATTACATCTATTGTCAAATGACACAGAATTTATAGGTGGGTTTTGTCAGTGATCAATACTAGTTAGGAATAGTACTAAAATCAGCGATTCCTGAGGAATTGTTTCGCCCTAGCATAAAATATTTATAGCAACAAATTGCATATTAATTGAAGTTCAGATTTTGAATCAATAGTCTAAAAGTAACCCAGACGCAACAAGAATTTAAGGACTTTCTTGCGATTCATAGTAGTATCATGTCAGTGATATCTTATCAGACGAAGAAATTGGTTGTCAATCACATCCTAAATGAACTCAGTCCATGACAAAAACTATTTGTGAATATGAAACTGATCTCCGCAAATCTAGTGAACAACCCAGGATTTCTTTCATCCGATTGCTACAATTACAAGAAACAGTACGTTTTAATATGGATATATATGAATAGATGTGTGGATAAATAGATAGGTTGATGTAACTTTTTCAAAAATATTTTTTGTGATGTACTTCTGTCAATCAAACTGAAGGTTTACATGTGGTTTATTGATTATTATCATGGGTTTTTAAACTTTTAAATATGGAACTACTAGATGACACACTTTTTAATAAAGAAATATAGAATTTACCAAACACTAATGAATATTAATCATAACGGTTCTGAATACTTTTTTTTTGCCTATGACAATTATATTCCACTATAGTCTGATTTATACATTTTTCTGGGTGAGATAGTGTATAGATGATACTTAACATGGCATAGTTGTACGTATTTCATTATAAATATCCTTAGAACATTAGTAACCCCAAATGCCCTGGTACGGTTGAGAGTGGGGAGAGTCAGTCCTCCCTCTCGAAATGTTCTCATATGGCCACGTGCATACTACCACTTCTAGGGAAGTCATACTCACTGCCTTCTCGTGGCGGAGGTGTTGTTTACGAAATTGAGAGGACGAAAAGCGAATATCCGGCGCTTTAACCGGGTTGGTGGATACGGAGTGTTCACCTAGGGGAGTTGAAAAACCCTGATTCCTCAAGGGACAAATGGCGTATGTGTCTACTGTTGATCACCAGCTACTGTGGGACTTCATCTCCTAACATTGCTCCACTGCCTTGTGGATCAGATTTTAGGTCTAAGGCTCCGGGTGTGGCTCTTTAAGAAAACCACCTGTTACGTTTCTGGCACCCGGGCAGTATCCAGCCTTCACACAAATCGAATGATTTCTGTGTCGCATATCTATTTGGAGCCTCCTTATACCAATTTTTATGTGTTTAAATAAATAAAAATAAAATTTGTTATAGACGCTAAGTGATATTCGGTTCGAAATTCTAGACAAGAATGAGTTCTCGTGCTATATATTAGTGAGTTACGATCCAATTCATTAGCGTGAAAAATGATCTGTTCATGTAGAATAAAATTTTTAAATGGAGTACTTTCTATATGTTACATAGATGTGAACAACAGTTGATATATTTATAAGTTAGTTGGAACTACTTGGACGAATTTAAGTTCTTCCGATATATACCTTTTCACTTCACATGTTCTCAAGTAGGTCACCCTTAATGCAAAAAGATTTTTCATAAAATATTTTATCGAATCTTTCAATTTAAAACACAAACTGACTTTAATTGAACAACCGCTGACAAGTAAGAGTCATTGGATAGCTGTTTCTTCGTAATATAGGACTCCTCAGTAGTAATTTCTATGTACGACTTCATCAACCAGTATCAATCTCAGGATTCTCAGTTCTAAAGAAAATCACTCAACCTTCAAACGACTAAACCAATATTCTATGGTTTATATTTCTAATGTCACTTAATTTGTGATATTCGATAAAAAGCTATCTTCAAATACTATTGGTTGGTAACTGTTTTACATCTATTATGATTAAGCTGTTAAGTCTATGTCAATTTCTTAAGTTTATTAAGTATTTGATTTTATTCTATAAATTTGTTTCTAGTTTGATCAAACAAGCAATTCTGATGTATATGATAGAATTTTAAAAAATAGTATATTGGGTACAAGACTAGTGAAAAAAGCTGTTATATGCAATCGTCGATCAGGTGCGATAAATGCTTATGGACCAGAGGATTTTACACCATCTATTGAACAAATTAATAAATTTATGATATTATCACAGGTAAGTGGTTGTTTATGATTATTAGTAGTAGTGTTATGGTAGTTTATATCACGGAATGAATCTAGCTAGATGATTAATGAAAACTAATAAAAATTAGAGGCAACATTATGGAAACTTCTTCGTCACTATGGCGTGCCTCAGAAATTAGTCAATATCATACAGAATTCCTATGATAGATTAAACTGCAAAATCGTGCATGAAGGACAGCTCACAGACTCGTTCGAAGTAAAGACAGTTGTCAGGAAAGGTTGCTTACTCTCGTCATTCCTCTTTCTCCTGATGATTGACTGGATCATGAAAACGTCAACACGTAGAGGGAAGCATGTGATACAGTGGACAACTAGGATGCAGCTGAACGATCTAGACTTCGTAGATGATCTGACTCTTCTATCGCACACACAACACCAAATGCAGGTGAAGACGACCAGTTTAGCAGCAACCTCAGCAGCAATAGGTCTCAATATACACAAAGGGAAAAGTAAGATTCTCCGACACAACACAACATGCCACAATCGAATCACACTTGACGGAGAAGATTTGGATTATGTAAAATGCATTACATATCTGAGCAGCATGATTGATGAACACGGTGGATCTGATGTAGATGTGTAGGCGTGGATTGGCAAAACAAGAGCAGCATATCAACAATTGAGGAACATCTGGAACTCAAAACAACTGTCAACCAACACCAAAATCAGAATTTTCAATAGAAAGTCAAGACAGTTCAACTATATTGGGTGAAAACTTGAAGAACTACAAAAGCCATCATCTCGAAGATGTAAGTGTTTATTAACAACTGTCTACACAAAATACTTCGGATCCGTTAAACCAGACACTATCGGCGCCAACCTACTATGGGAGAGAACAAACCATATCTTAGCGGAAGTAGAAATCAGGAAGAAGCACTGAAAGTGGATAGAACACACATTGAGGAAAACACCCAACTGCGTCCCAAGACATGCCCTCACATGGAATTCTCAAGGCCAAATGAGGATAAGAAGACCAAAGAACACATTACGTCGAGAAATGTAGACAGACATAAGAATGCACAACATTTAGATAGAAGTAGAAAGGAAGGTCCAGGACAGAGTGGGTTGGGGAATTCCGGTTGGTGGCCTATGCTTCATTGGTAGTAATAAGCGTAAGGAAGTAAAAAAAGCTGGATAGCTGTTTTGTTTAAGTATGGACTTCTAAGTAGTGTGGTTTCAAAATTACACCCAGTTTATGCAGATCTCATTGCAAACCTTTAACATTCAAATCTCTGAGTTAATATTTCATGATTTATAGTTTCAGATATTTATTATCTAATGGCATCGATGATATACGCTTCATAATAATTGAACTCCACCGGTAACAGACTTTTATTGAAATTGAGATTCTTTTCTAGAGTACATTCTTATTGCTACTACAAAGACTTTATGAGGTTTCTCCGATATGTGAGTTATTTCACGAATTTACTCTTAGTGACGTTGTAAACGCTAACTTCCAAGGATCTTTTATTATGACTAAACAATTGTCCAGTGCTTTCTGATTTCCATGATTATCATAAATTAATTCAGTTCATAATGTATATATTATTCAATAATTTTTATGAACATCCTATAATATTACTTACTATACTACTAATTATCGTTCAATGTACTTAATTCATAGTGATTTATGTACAACCTATGGGTACTTTTCATCATAATCTTATGTCGGCTAAACAACGATTGGAAACCATATAAATTTAAGTTATCATGTTCACTGTTAGTTGTGAAGACTGTGAGTTATCTGTTAATGAGGAACTTATAGATGGTTACTGTTGAAAAGTTGAAAATTAGAACCCAGTAAGCATTCAGTTGTTTCTTTTGTTTTCAAGGCTATTTGTAGATAATGTTACTTTGTGTTAAAAAAGGTAGTCACATAGTGATTAACTTAGGGAATAGTGTTCCATTGGTATTGTGAAATATTTGATTCCAACCTAGATTATTCGATTGAACAAGGAGGTTTCTATCTAAAGCTAAGATATATCGTTGGAATAAAAAAAAATTAAATAGGTTAGAGGTTGGGAAAATAATAAATCTTTTGATGAACTTTGACATGGGTAAAACTTGTGTCTACTCCATGACAGACCAGTATTACGCTATGTGAATATTTCATTTCGAAATACTCAGAATAAAAACTCCATACAGAACAAAAACAATTTGTAAAATAGTATAATTACTCTATCAAGTTATGGACAATGAACTCTGTCATGCGTCTAAAGTACAAAGGGTCGGGGGGGGGCAAAATAGTAGTGCATCACAACGTGCTTTGATTTTTGTTGAGAGATATGTAATTTATTCATGACAATATGTATTGGATGTTTTTTGTAAGGGCATAATTAATTGTCAAGCTGAAATATGTAAAATGCAATTCATTATTTTAGCTGGACCACCATTGAGAAAAAAGGAAGCTAAGGACGACCGTTTTGTCCTAGTATGTAACTTGTCAATCTTGCACGCGAACGTTCAACCACGATTCCTACTAGCGAGATCGTGTATGCACACTGCAAATGATTCCCATACTAAAACTAAACGACCATCATATGCATCTAAGTCCCTAATTGTGGCCTAGCAAAAACAGTTTATGATTTAATACTGTGAAAAATATACCGTCTCCATAGATTTCTTATGCCAATAATTAATGATTTGTCGATTTGAACTTAATCATCAATAACTCTTACTATTTAAATTGAGTTTATGTACTACTGACAAGGTGAATAAGTAGTGACCAATTACTTTTCATACAGACGGATAGTTTGTCTTAAATTTTTCTAGTTTTTATATAAAAGTTCAATCTTGAGGAAACTGATACTGTCTGTGAACTTCGAAACCATGCCACTTGGTAATAAATATAGTTTTGTTATATCACACAGTGTAGAACGATAGTATTTCTGACGTTTCGTGACTTAATGTAAGTAATTTCTTCATTTAGGTTTGAGCAGTACACATTTTTATGAATATAAAAATGAATCTGAGAAACTTAATAATAGTATGTTTAAATATTAAAACAGCTACAATTTAACATAAGCTTCAAATGTATTCGTTGATTCAGTTATGATTCATATTTTACCCTAAAAATAGACTATTTTAATCCATAAATTATTCATTTGGAATATATTCATAGCTAATGCGCTAGATATTATTGATTATTACTATTAACATATATATGGGCGTGGTTTCCTTGAATTTTTGTATGCTAATTCTCATTTGAGTTTCCAGTACAAATTTAAAAAAAAAGACGACGCCGAACGTCTAAATGATGGAAGTTGTAGATCTTCAGGAAAAAAAAAACTTTAGAAAACATGTTTTGAACTACTTGTTAGTAGTATAAAAAGCATAAATAATGAATAGTTTACATAATGTAAAGTATTTCTAATTCCAATCCATGAAAATCACGATACATTTTCGATGATTTTTTTTATCAAGTTTTGCATTTATAAGTAGCCAGAAATATTTCTAATTGTTATGACCAACAGAATTAAACTGATACACGTATATGATTAGCCTACGAGAATTGTGGAGATTGTAGCATTTTCATTGTTGGAATCATGAATCAGTTGACGTTAGATGTTAAGATCGCTGCGTGCCAGCTCAGTGGTTTGGAGGTTAATCGTTCTCGCGCGAGATCGATGGTATATATATATATATACAAATGGTAGAGTCAATAAATCATCATCACTATGTGAATTAAGGTGAATACAACTGAAACAAAGATGTATACACACACACACGCACATGAAATAAATATTTACATATGATTAATGTACGAAATGATTCATACTGTGTGTTAAAGATAGGTAGACTGGTAGGGGGAAAGTTTTTATTATCTATTACGTGTTATTCTTAGTGGACGGAAAAGCACATATATCGATAGATTTAATTAGCTATATGAATGTGAAGGTGGATATTGGGCTCTAATCTATTTAATGATATATATCCCCTAAATATTAAAGTACAAAATGTTCAATAGATTTGATTTTCTCTACCCAAATATTGGATTTACCGAGTCAGTCTGATTATCGTAATAGTAATTTATTATTACAAGAACAGTTTAACTAATAAACACACAGTGACCTGTTCTAACTCCACTGTAAGAAGAATAGTTTGAAATGTTGGCAAACAATGCTTTGTTGATACTAAAGTTCAGTATTGTTGATATCAATTTTGCAATTATATCAATTCTTTTGAGGGCATATGTTAAATAAAACCACTGATTATTAAATGACAGTAAATGAATATCATTGAGTAAGGATCTAGATTGGTATTTCTGCAGTTGGTAGCCCAGAGAATATCTCAATCGGTGTTTGAAAGTAAAGGTACTGTGTTCAGATCTGGATGTGAACATCAACACTGAAATGTGACAGGTATATATATAGGACGAAACGCGGATTCCGGGTCTCATAGTTATAATTCATTTATCCTGAATAATTGATGATAGATAATTTCTTAAAACTATAGGTTATAGGTCTCTTTTTAGCATATTTTCACTCTGTGGGGAATGCTTAAACTAAATGCATTCCTAAACGTCAATGGGAAGATTAAAAAAACTAATAAAAATTAATTAAACTCCACACCACTGTACAATCTAGTGGCCATCCGGACTAAATAGCTAAGTGGATATATGATGAAATGGCATTTGAAGCGAATGGTAATTGGGTTAGTGCGCCTAACTGAACATCAATTCTGGAATGTGGCAGGTATACCCAGCTGACGAGCCCGAAATAAGATGAAACACCTGTCCTGGAATCCACTGCTAGCCACCATTCATCTCTTCTTATAATACAGGATTGTGATTAAACTGCAATCTGAGTGATTCAAGATTATGAATTGAGAGTGATTTTGGGAAGTTTTATTGGTATAATTCTGTATTGTGAACTTCCTTAAGTTGGATTTTTTTAACAAGATGAAGCGAACCAGTTTAAAATGACTGATGATTTTGAAAATTTATAACAATCAGACATATCTAACGTTAAGAAACATGAATAGCGTTGGTGGGTATACAACTTAAAAGTTATATAATATCAACTAGAGTGGTGACTAGATAGAAGTGTGTATTATTATTATGACTATTATTATTAATAGCTTTATTCAATATTATATTTTTGGTACAATATAGAATGCTTAGAACAAAGTATTTTAACAAGTTCCCTTTTCTTATTTCGTGATTGATCCTGATGATAAATATTGGGTGATAGCCAGTTAGATGTAAGCAGTTCAGGAATCTATAAATGAATAATGTTCACTCTTTTCAATGCACATTTCCGGCTACCACGGTGTCTCTGATTGTACTTTTTTGTGACTTGTATAGCGAAAGGTTGTAAACATTTCATAAACGTACCTGAATAGGTTATGTGATTAATAGGCTTAGTGATGGGTTAAAACAAAAAAAAAAACGAGCAACTTTATGAAATATCTAAATGGTAGGAACAGGTAGTCCAGATATTCAAGCAGGCCGCCAGAGTTTGGATAGAGGACGTTGATACATTCCACTGAGGTTAATAATAAAGTGATTTCATCGGAATAAAACATAAATATTTTGGAACTCAGTTTGTCTAGCGTGAAATAGTTAACATAATCAGTTAGACTGACAATTAAAAAGAAAAATGTTTAACGCTGATTTTTTGGCTCGTTACCTTTAATATTAAGGTAAGGTGTTTGTGGATACTGTTCAATTTGAAAATAATAAAAAAAAACGGGACTGACTTCATCCAAACGACTATTGAAGACCAAAGAACACTAAACAGATGTTTTCATTTAGCTTGAAACTTTCCATTAGTATTCACTACTTCACTATTGGATGAAACACAGGTTTTACACTGAATGGATTACTTTCGAACAATTAAATCAAGATAAGATGATTCCTATTTTCAACTTGAATTCAACATATTATGTAACTATCATTCGGATTGATCTTTACCAAAACGATGAGTATACAGTTTGATAAGTTCCAAACTAAAATGATACACCTATTCAATTGATACTCGTTAATGTTCAGTAATATTTTAGATGAACTTATTCCACGATTTAGTTAATCTATAATCTATATTTTTTTTTATAATTTTGGTTATAATCAATATTTGCACAACATCTTCAACGATCATCATTATTACGACTACTATTACTACAACTGTCTATCATGATAATAAGGCTGAACGAGCGGATCGTGTAATTATAGATAAACATTTTCAAATAGCTATGGATTCATGCTTATATAAAGATGTAGATGATGAAACTGGTGTACTTTTAGCTGATATAATTCAATATTATACAAGACCAAATACAAATGAATATAATACTGGTAAATATGAATTAAGTGGTTTATTAACAAAAAACTCCTTATTAATTGCAATCTATGAAATTGGTAATCGAACTAATGATGCAAAACAATTATTAATTGAAATGCGGGATTATTTTGATGCTCAAGGAATGTAATTAATTTTTTTTTTATTATTTTGTTAAATACTATTTTAATTCTTTTCTTGACTATTTACTGACGCTTGTTACTCTTAATGGAGAATAGGCCACCAACCAGTACTCACCAATCCACTCTGTTCTGGACCTTCCTTTCTCGTTCTATCCAATTATTGTTCATTTTTCTCATGTCTATCTCCATTTCCCGGCGTATTGTGCTCTTTGGTCTACCACTTCTCCTTTGATCTTGAGGATTACATGTGAGGGCTTGTCTTGTGTTGTAGTTCAGTGCTTTCCTCAATGTGTACGCTAACCGAAAAAAAAATTATACTTGGCTATTTTTAATTTTCTTAAATCATTGGAATTTGGTTAATTGATTATTAATTTCATCAATGGTTACATTCTGCTATTTATATTTTATTTATGCTTTATTTTGCTTGCTTACAATTGAACTTTCGATTTTCGAATGTTTATTTTGTATACAGTTATCTGATATTGACTTTTAAATGGCTTATAGTTGGAATTTGGTTATTTTATTTTTTAAGGAAAGCTCCTTTTTTTATATATTGTACATTTTGTGGATTTGATTTGATTACAGTAAACATAATAAAAATATTCTGTATACCCAAAGATTTATTGTTGATGAATGGGACGAGTAACTGTTAATTCGTAGATTTCACTGAATTATTTTTTTCTAGTTAGCGTTTTTTAGCGAGTTAGTTGTCTACGGAATGGGATCGCTAACCCAATGACCAACCCTCCTCCTTTATCCGGACTCTGAAACGGCAGTAGCCTCAGAGGGGTTCCAGAAGGAGTTAGATTTTATTGATTATATTGAAATGATTTAACTATAGAATACTAATATTGTTAACTTGTGATCTACTTTATTGACTGTTGAGTGTGAAAAATTCACTTTAATTAGATACATTCGGTCAAATGATTTGAATACATAATCTTTTGACGAAGAATATTTATTACAAGTGAATGGTTTTGACTCAGTCAGTCAGTCAGCAACAATGTAGAACTTCGTACGTACGTACATCAGTTCAAGTTGCCATACCACATTAGCACAGAGATTTAATTGTCAATACAAATCCTGTAGTGGTAGTAAAAGTACAAGCAGTAATCAGAAAGATTGGTGTATGAAGATGTTATTCAAAGGAGTATAATCCAGTAAAATAAACTTGGAAAGAGGAAAAAAGGGACTTGAAGAATTCATAAGATTAGAATTTAGGAGAACACAAAGAGTGAATGCACCTGCGCCATTACAAACCATTTTAAGCCATGTCATTCAATGTCGGTTGATACCATCTCGCGGATCCCAACCAGGTAGTCTACACCTACCAACATGGTTCAGTTCACTTGTCAGTGACTTGATGGATTTGTGCCATGTCTTGGTCTGGCCGCCCCCAATTTTCTCCCATCCTACTCCTACACCATGAAGCATCGCACGTCGAGGCAGTCGGTGATTGGGCTAATATGATTCTAGTCTTAATTTTTGTTAGCAGCTTCTTAGACCTTTGGTTGTAGTCTTTGATACAAATACTCTTATCATTATTATTAAGACTATGATCTGATATTTACCCGGGGAATGAAACTTTATTGACATTAAAACTAAACGATTAGGTTTCCCTAAACAAACCATAGATTATCAAAGATGTTTACGAATATGTATACTTTAAATGATTTATTAAGCTAAATGAATAAGTTCTTACAAACTAACAGATTTCACTTATAGATACTTAGGAAATTATGCTTAGTAGATTCTGATGTTAGAACATGGTTTACGTCTCCTACTATATAAATTTATATTTTAGTAGTTAGTTACTCCCAATGAATACCATTCCATAGATGCATTGGTTTAACATATAACATTGTACGATGTTGAAACGATAGATCTCATATTTTATCAACATTTTCATAAGAAGTGTAACACTAATGTTTTATATGCGAATACGAATTCATATTCCAAAGTTGATAGCCAAGTATCATATAATAAAATCACGAATGAGACCGTGAAACTGGAACATAAATATTAAACAGTCATAAGCAATATAGAACCTGGTATATATATATATATATATATATATATATATATATATATATATATATATATATATATATATCCTTAACTTTCTTTCCACCTACATCCACACAAGCCAATATTGTACTTGACAAAAGGCAGAAGTTAACCTTTTTTTACCACATAACCAAACCACATCAGTCGATAAACATTCACAAGTGTGACGAGTTATGAATCAGAAAAATTAACACGGTTTTAATAAGTATTATTGTGGTGCATGCTACTTATGTTGACAGATATAAGTAGTATATAACATCGATCAGAAATGAAATATCTTTTAAAAGAAGGCTGAGAAGATTGAACTGAAGAAAACAGAAAGGGAAACATAAAGGAATTTGGGGATTAAAAAATCATGAAGGATATAAAGAACAATTGATAGATTTGCAAATGAGGTATTTAATGCACGGTTTTCACATATTATGAAGGAGCACTGTAATTTTGCATTACAAGATAAATTGGTCTTCCTCACCTGCGTTCTCATTCACTACATTATGATTAATTGCAACACTGTATTTATTCATTTGTTTAATGACCAAACAGAACTCGTAAAATAGTATAAAAAATTATTCGAATCAAAGAGTAAAGCTTTTGAATTGAAATTCTGTGATGTGCATCAGTTATCATTAGGTGTATCATTTTCCTTCCACTTTGCTCAGCTATTCTCAATCCGATGGGGTAGTTGATTGGAGGTCTGTAACTTACAACTGTTGGTAGAACATGTTGACAAGGACAAACGTGGATAAAATACAATTGTTCTCGAGTGAAAGCATGCCGTTTCCCAAAACGCCTCCATTTTCAAACAACGACAAAAGTACTACGCTCATATGATTTTGAGATCTTGAAGATTTGTAGCTTAGATGGATCATTTTGATGGTTTTGTTCTCTCTACCTGAAGTTTATGCTGATGACGTCGTTCAGAAGAACGGTGAAAGCTCCATGACCAAACCATCCAGATCACAGAACAAAACTCCATCAGAATTGAAATCCTGTTCAGTCTAGTTTAAGCCGACTGCGAAAAAATTACATGTTCTAGATTATGTATTAGTCTGAATTATTGTTGGAAACTGGAACCCTGATATTCTGAAAACATTATCGTTTACTAGAGTTATGATTACTCGCTTTTATTAATATAAAAAATAATGGTTCTTAGTTGATTTCTAATTACTGGAATCACTTCAATGAATTGTAAAACTGTTTTGTTGTAGTTAGTGTATAAGAATAATATCCAATAATGAACTGAGTATTTGGAAGAAGAAGATGAAAAGGAAAAAGGAGGAGGAGGGAACTATAATAATCAAAATAATAATTTGTAGAAATTAAAACGTAGTTAAATGGTTATTCGACTACTTAAAGTTTAATAAGAGGATTCGTAAAATATTTTAATAAAATATCAGCTTTATATCAGCTATGTGAGAACTAAGAAACCAACATTACAAATATTAAAGTGAAAGAAATTCAAAGGTTAAATTCACTTGGTGTTAGATGGCGGTTAAAGGTAGTCAACGGGAAACCCTGGACTTGGGTTTTGTACTACTTGGCACTCGTCATCAAGGTGTACCTGTAATCTTGAGGGAACTGATGTGTCCTGATGGATTCGATCCCGTGCCACCCAGCTTCACAGTTAGAGAAGCTACGATTGAGCTGTCCTGGTCGCGGCCGACCTTCTGCTATCGACCAAATTGCAATGTGGCCGCTAGTCTAGGTGACTCGACATTGCGCGAACTATGTTGAGATTAGATGGTGGTTGGAGGTAGTCAACAGGACAGGATTCGATCTGCACTAAGAAGGACTTGACACACATGTCATTGATCACCACCCAGGGATCAATCAATTGTGATCACTTGGTGTTGTTTTACTTGTATCTTCTCATTGTTATTCAGGAATGCAATTGATCAGTCTCATTGTTTAGCCAAGATTGTTTGAATCCTTTTTTTAAAGTATGGGGTTTATCAAAGTTCAGCCCACAAAAAAGCACACCACTTTTCTGATAACCAATCTTGTTTATTATAAGAGATACAAAGCATCAGTCAGTTTAAACCATGACGGAAATTATGTGACAGTGAACACTATTGTAAAGTTATATATTAACTAATAGTGTGAAACAATGATGAAATCTCCAAACTTCCTCTTCCATAACTAATACAACTACTACTGATGCTACTAACAATATCCATAGTAGTAGTAGTAGTACTCCATATCAACTCATAATTTCAACTTATTCGTGACAATTTATGGTGCAGATGGGAGTTGAGTACCATTATACGGTTAGGAAACTATCAGTAAAGAGGAAATATTAAATCTTTCTAGAAAATTTACGATAATTGTAAATATAGTTTACAAAATAATTTGAAAATATGGATCAGTGAATAAGATGAAACGGTCCATCAGAGTGCTTGGTACCTGTGTGGTTGCACCTCAGGATTGAACTGTACTATTCAGATTGTAGCGTTTAAGCCTATATAGTGTCTGGTTCTCCTATGAAGCGGGATTCAGCTGCACTGTTCAGGTTATAAAGCTTAAACCTGGGTAATGTCTGGCTTTCCTGCAAGTAGGATTGAGCTATACTGTTTGAATTATCACCTAAAAGTCTGGATGATGTTTGGTTCTCCTGAAAATCAATGTAAAATTACCCTAACCCACAAAGGTATCTTACTATATAACCATGAATAAGATGAGAAAATAGTTGACAATCTATAGAACATAGATTTATTATTTACCGGTATTTTAATTTTATCGATTACTCTTTCAGTTTGTTTTTAATGTCAAATTATTTAAATCTTATGAGAATTGAATTGTGATAAGCCAAAAAGTATAAACAAACAACCCCATAGATTCTCATGAATAGATTACTAAATTTCAAATGATTAATGTAACTAAATTAAACAAAAATTTGTCTAGTACCATTTCTATTCAAACACTTTACCAACAAAAAAAAAAGAACAAACTTATTGGACATTGAATTTTGTAATAGTTTAATGGATCATTCTTATAGAAAGAGAAAAAGAAAAGAAATATTTAGCATTATCTGTGTATTTAATCTGTGTAGTGTGTATTATATTAATGTCTGTTATAAATTTATATCCATATGTGTATGGTGAGACAGGCAAATAATAAGTCTGTCTGGATCGATTAGAAAATTCCAACCAAACTACCCTTGACTAATATATATATATATATATATATATATATATATATATATATATATATATATATATATATATATATATATATATATATATATATATATCAGGATGGGATTTGTGGAGACTCCATTGGTCACAACTTTTTACAAGAACTCCAGGAAATCATCTTGAAGCGCAGTTATTCATGGATCAATAGAAGTTAGACATGAACACCGTCGGATGTCGGTTCACTGGTCTAGAGGTTAAGCATTCGCGAATAAGACCTAATGTCATGGGTCCGTGAGCATGCACTACTGAGAAGTTCCATACTAGAATGAAACGGTCATTTAATGCTTCCAGGTTTTCAAAGATGATCTAGCTTACATCGACTCATGAATACAACTATATATATGTTATGCATATACAACGGTTGATTTGTTTAGATTTCATAAATTAATCTGTATTTAAAACAAGAAGTTGGTTATGTTGTTGATTTTGGAAACAATGTTTAATTTGAAGTGGGAGAAATGATTCATCATGATAGATTACTTAGTAGGTCTTGAATATTTATTTATTCTTTTATTGTTTTGACAAAACATTATCAATAACTGAAGTTAGTTTATACAAGGTTAAATATCATGGAATAATTAGCTGGTTAACTAGACATTTTAAAAATGTTTTAAATGTAGTCTGAAATTAATGTATAAATACTTTTACCACGTAAGTGATTAGTGTGAACGAAATCAAAAGGTGA